AAAATTGACTTTAAATTGACTATTAATATGATCTGAGAGCAAGACATACAAGATAAGAATGACAGCAAAATACACGAGGGTGTAAAATGGACTTAATTGGAATACATTTTTGTAGAAAACCAGTGTTACAGGATGGGAGTGAATTTGCTGATCACTCAGAAGAATAACATTGAATTATTGCCTGGGGGCACTGAGGTGTAGATTCATATTGAGCCTCTAGCAAGTTCCTTAAATTTAAACAGTAGCTGTACTGTAGTACTGTATAGCTACAGTAATGGCAGTAAGATCACTGCACTGTACATACAGCAGTATACTGGATCAGTGTGGAGGTCTGGAAGGAGTGTTTACAAAACCAGTTAGGAAGGAAATGCACTGATTGCAACTTGTAATGGAAAATGACCATCATTGGATGGTGTAGAGTGCAAAACAACAACACTGTGAATTGAAAGATGGACTGTTTCAATGGTTGGATTTTCTCTTTAAGGCTATTCAGTCTGAGAAGAAGTCATACTGCATCTAGAGAATGTGAATAGAGAAGTTATTATTATTGTTTCCCTTAAACATCTGTACAAAATAGCACACACTTAACAGCAAGACTTAAATTGAACTCATTGAATATTTATTAATCAGACACACACATTGCATTTAGTTACATTAGCCGTTACTTGGCAACAGTCCAATGACATGTAGCATGACAAAAAACCCACACAAATTCAGTAATTTTGCACACTATTCATTAACAAAAAAGTGAGTAATTGAATATGTCTAATATTACTGAAATGGCATTTCAGGTAAAAAAGAAAGAAACGGACATTTTCCAAACTGCCAAAGTAAAACATCACAAAATTAAAAAAAGAAATCGTACTTTAATAAAATCCTACCGTAATACATTCTTTTTTGCTAATGATGTTCCATCTCACAGTAAAATCAGACAGAATAAGGCCCCTTTGGCTCCAAAAAGGGAAAGAGGAAACACAAGTGTTTATTAAGGCACTTGAATCTTGTTGTCAACTTGACAATTGATAGAATTCTGCCACAGTCATTACACTGTACATGCACACATGCTCACGGCTGAAAAGGAGCAAAACCTCTACGGTAAAACAAAAGGTAGGGTTTTTTTTCCCTTTCCACATACAGTAGTTTACCCATTCAACAAAAATTTCAGCCCAAACTGGCCGTCAGAGGTTTTAAGAAGACACTGGAAGTAAAATCACCTGAGTGAGATACTGCATATATATATATATATATAAACTTTCGTCAAGTTAAAGTGGTATTTCAAGAATCAACATTTTTGTACACTTTGCTCTTTAAATATCAATATATTCTTTCCCCAGCAGGA